TGAAGGTCAGAATCTTTTTCCTATCTGATGCTCCAGCCAAAAGGAAAAGAGAGATTAAGGAGTCAAAGGAGCAAGAAAGGCAAAGTGAGAGAACCGTTACTCACAAACTACACAATCACGCTCCTGAATAATCGGCAGCTGCCAGTCTTCACAGCCAGGGGCATCCCTTCAAACAATCCCCCTAGATAAAAAGGCTAAAAGCAAATTCAACACATCCTGTTTTAAATGTAAGGTTTTTCAGTATTTCAGATGACAGACACAAAAGAAGAAAACAGGACATAATAAGTACTGATAGTGTGGCACCATTTAAGAAGAGAGAAAAATGTTTATAACTAAAACTATGCGCTTATGTTATAAAACAACATGTAACTGTAGACCAGGAACACATGTGGTCTATTCCTATCTCAGAAATCATCACATGAGCTCATCTGGGCTACATTCCTTTTTGACATACCATTAAATATTGTACAAATAGCTGCGTAATTTTATCTTGGACTCACACCCTTCAAAGTCTTAAAAACTTCAAAGTACAAGGCATAAAAGCCTACAGCTCACAATCTGCTGTCATTATTTTATATGAACTGTAAAGGCCCTTGAGTTGACACACAAAGTTGTAGCCTACTGTGCTGTATCCGCAATAAGTGAGAGCACGCGCCCACTCAGTGTGTCCTTCCGGGGGTAGTCACAGGTGCTGTTTTCACATGCCAGATGCAAGCACATTAAAGGTACCTAAATCAGCCTGGTTTACATGAGAATACAGAGCCTAAAACTGTAGAGCTCCTTTGGTAAAGTTTTTTGTATTTTGTTTTGGGGATTTTGAGAGTTTTTAAATATATTTTTGCCATAGGATGTATGCACTGGTGAGAGAGTGAGAAATCACCCCCTGGAGGGATGACCATGCTGCAGTCCCTTCTCCTCTATCCTCCTCTTGGATATGAATGCACACACAATGGCATGACTTTTTTTCTTTTTTGATTTCCTGTTCTGAGAATCAAACCGTATTTAGCCATGTGGGAATCCAGCATCTTAACCATCATATCACCTGCTGGCCTCACACATACCCATAGGGTGCATGTGCTCTTCGGAGAGACATAGAGAGGAGACGTGAAAAACCACCCCCAGGGTATATGACGACACTGCAATCCCTTCTCCATCTACTCTGGGAATTTGGAGCATGCACACGTGCCCAGTGTAATTTCCCAGCCACCAAGTCCGGGCCTTGAACCACGACTGACCATTTGGGAGTTCAACACCTTAACCACCATGCCACTCTTTGGTACAGTTTTTAACTTAGTTTCATGGATATCTGAGCTCATGCCTTGATGATTAGTTAAAAGTAGGGGGACCAGCAGACTGCGTAGTGGTTATGTTGCTGGACTCCCACATGTGGTTCAAGTCCCAGACCTGGTGTCTTACAACTCACGCCGGGCACATATGCATGTGTGCCCAAACTCCTGAAAGGAGAATGGAGGAGAAGGGATTGTGGCATGGCCATCTCTCCTGGGGGATGATTTCTCACTTTCTGTCTCTTTGTCTCTTTCTGTCTCTCCAGTGAGTGCACGTGCTCTATAGCAAAAATCTCTCCCTAAAAAATAAAAGAAAATAAAGAACTAGTGGGAGAAGAGAATGAAAATTATAAGATGTTCTTTATAGAACATCTCACACTACAACATAATGTTCGTTGAATAAATAGGACCATACTCTAAAATCCTCTAAAATCCTGGATCAATTCATCATAACTACTAATAAGAACACCAGCAGGAAAGGAGATAGAGGGATACAGAAACACCTGGAGAAAATCGAGGATTGATTTTACAGGTTGAATATCCTTTATCCAAAATGCTTGGGACCAGAAATGTTTCAGATTTCAGATTTGTTGGATTTTGGAACATCTGCATATACATGATGACATACTTTGGGGATGAGACCCAAGTCTAAACATGAAATTCATTTATGTTTCATGTACAATTTATACACGTGGCCTGAAGGTCATTTCAAACAACAATTTTATATTGAAGCATCCTGATGAACTCTGTCATGAGGTCAAGCGTAGAATTTTCCACTATTTGTTTCATGTTGGTACTTGAAAAATTTTGAATTTTGGAGCACTTCAAATTTCAGATTTTTGGATTAGGGACAACAGGTAATACTTCCTTCATTTAACACATCACTTAAAAATAGAAAATTAGGGATTGGCAGGTGGCATGGTGGTTGAGGTACTGGACTCCCACTTGGTTAACCACAGTTTGAGTCCTGGACTTAGAAGCTTTCTCCCCCCCCCCTTTCTCTCTCCTCTCTTCTTATCTCTCTGGGTCAAATTAAAATAATAATAGTAACAATAATAATAAAATTAAATAATTCTTTTCCAAAAATGGAAAATTAACCAGAGAGAGACAAGACTGATGGTCTAGAGAAGCAAATTCACAGGATCTGATTAGATTTAAGGGACTTCTCTCTTCAGCTCCACCACAGTTACATCTAGAAATCATTTCAACAAATATTTTAGAAAGCTATCATTGCTAAGAATCAACTGATTAAAGACAAAGCTTGGCTCATCAGCTCTTTAACAGACCCTGACCAAACATCAAAATAGCTTAGCTGAGTAAAACAAGTTGCTCTTTCTAGTCAAATTTCTCACACAAAGCAGGAGCAGTATTCTGTTTTCTCCTCTGGCCAGTGCTGTCAAATCCAACCCTTAGATTCTTCTACAGACTAGTTCTCATTCTCTATAACCATAAAAGACTTTCTGACCCCAGAAGGGAAGCTCTAACCCACCAAACCATAAAGACCTCTGGCCTTCCTATTGCCAAAAGCAACCTAGTTCTTAATATCCCTACAGCATTTGTCCAGAGCCCCTAAACACAATCCCAGATCCCCATCTACTCTAAATTTCTATTTGAAATTTATCCTTTTCCCTAGCAGGCACAAGGACATGTTTTCATATTTAAAATAACTTCATTATATCTTTGAAAGTAGTCATCTTTTATTTTCCATGTACACATTGTCTTTTTCCACCCTCTTGGGTATCATTCTTCACATCAAAACAGTTAATTTTCCTTGTCCATAAGCTCTATGGTAGAAATTTTTGCTTAGTATTAACCATCAATTAGCAAGGGTTGGAGCGTCTCTGTATACGGATATATGTGAATGTACGAGGGTGTGCAATGTGTATGCACGCGTGGGTGCACAGACATTTAGACAAACATACATAGTATCCAGCTCACAGAAATAATTAATGTTTACTTATCCTGATAATAGTGTACACATAGATTTAAATATGTGCTTTTATATATGTATTTTTATATATATTCAGATACTATTATATATTATAGTTCACAAAACTTATCTCCACTTGTATTTTACTTTTTTACATAAGATTTCTAACAGTCCAATAATAAATAATATTATTAATAATAAAACTATAGCTCCTTTCTATGACTGAAAACACTTAAAGGATATATTTTCCTCTCTGGTAGTTGTCCTGAATTATGATCTATTAATCTCTTTACTAAAGAACAGGTCTCTCCTTCTAAATACTCTAGACTTTAAGCATTTTAAATTAGAAGGAATTTTGTCAGAGAAATTAACTATTAATTCTCTGCACAGTTAACCATGGCTCCACTTTACAAAATGCTCTAAGAACCTATATTTCAAGTTGTTCAAAATTCCATGGAGGAGCTTTACATTTGCAAAGCATCTCCTCCATAGGCCAGTTCTAGTCCTAGATTTTGTCAAGTGAGACAGCATTTAACAGAATAGGATGCAATGCACAGTAGCAGGTTGGGAATGACCTATTTACATATATGTGCACTGCTAGCTTAAAAGGGTATACGGCACGACATTCGCAACAATTATCTCTGGGTGGTGGGTTTTAGGTAATGTTTCCTGCTTCTCTGCTCCTTCTAGGTATCCCTACAAGAATGTTCACCTATTATTTGTGTAATAAATTTGCTAGATAGAAAAAAACAAACAAACAAACAAGCTATCCCTAGACTAGAATGATTCCACAAACATCAAAACACACAATCTTTTTATAAAACAAGTATACACCAAGAAGCAGATCTACTAAAATCTATCGGGAGTCAGATTAAAATACATGGTGTGTGCCTGCCGTCAGTAACACCATCTTGGTCCCCAAGACCTGCATTAAGACAAGGTGGGAGCAGTGAAGGTAGAAGAGGGTACCCCACATACAGATCCTGAGTAGGGAGGGCCTCTGTGCACAACTGATTGTAACCGGCCTGGACCAGGCAGAAACTCATCCAGAGGCACACATTCCATTACCTACGTCAAGTTAACATTAGGAGTCACGTCACATGTTACCTGAAAGCTCCCATTCTCATGCAGGACCCTAATGTGGGATACTGAATGATCTTTTGCACTTCTTTGCAATTCTGAATGACCTTGATTTTTACTTACTCTCCCGGAAACCAAAGCATAAGTTAAAGAACTTGCCCTCAAAGGCTCCACGGGACTCAAGAACCTAAAATGTCCAGACTCCAGTGTGCGCCGGCATGCTTCAAGGTCCTCTCTCTTCATACGCACAGTATGTGAGCTACGGAGGTTACAGGCTAATCTTTGGGCACTGGGCATAAAATATCTACCTTTGGACCAGTCTCTTAAGAAAAACCTTGCATCCCAGTACCAAAATCTCTTTCATACAGTGGGGGTGTGAGGTGCTAACAGTGCTTAAGAATGCTTTATTCTTATTCAGAATAAAATATCACTCCCTGGTCAAGATGATCTTATTATAGGTTTACTGTGTGAACTCACTGAATATAATTGCTTATCATGTGTTAACCCCACATACCCGACCAACAGCACAGAGTGGCAGGACATATGTGCATGGCGCCCCAGCCCCCCGAAGGAAGTGCCATGCTCAGCTTTTAGTGCCTGTGTATTCTCGGACTGCAGCTGGCCATCTGAGAAAAGCCTCTCCATGCTATCCACCAGACCTGTTCCGAGAGCTCTGCTTCAATCTGGGCAAACCCCACACTTACAGCCATAAATGCATTGGCACTGAGAAAGACTGCTGAGGATGTGGCACTCCAGGTGTGGCTTTATTGTCACTTCACCGGGTCAGCTATTTAGGCCTAGTCTTCTCCATTGGCTTGAAGCTCTGTTCACACCATCTTGGGTAACACATCACATTATTCTTCCTTATAAAAACAAACAAACTCAAATGAGCATTCAGAGTCAGTTCACCCCGCCGAGTATCTCTGTCTTCCCCTCTGATTTATGTGTTTTGGTTTCAGTCCCACCCATCTGCAAGCCTCCCATACTCTCAACAGAGGACCAGCCAGATGCCTTTGCTCATTCCCACCTTCCTCACCTCCGCAGATGTGCACAGCCCGGAGGAGCTCAGTCTACTGGCCACCACTGAGTCACCAGGAGCACAGCACTGCAGTACCTAGCACTACCTGCCATCGACTACCTCCACGGAGTCCAGTTACTGCACTCTTCGCTTCCCACCCTACAGACCAACTCAGCTGTCCTGTGAGGCTGGGCCAGAAGGAAAGAAATGTTTTCATACTTATAATGGCTCTCCTTTGAACCAGTGCATCTGAAATTTACACAGTTCTGGAGAACGAGGAACTGGACACATTAGTTCCTAGCCGACTCTTTTCACAGCAGCTGGTTTCTAAAGGCATATCTGAAATAACTCCAATCCACTTCAGTACAAATACACTGCCCAAGTTCAAAATCAATGGTCAAAAATAAAACTTACAATTCAATAAGGCATCACATGTTTCATAACGGAGTGTGGAGAGAAGGGATATAAGAAATAACCAGGCCTCCTAAAGAGCCCAGCCAGGGAAGCTGGTTTACTGAACTCCTGTGGCTGCCACACTCTCCCAACCCACCTGGCAGTGT